TAAAATAAAAATGTATAACTATGAAAGTTAAAAAAAAAAAAAAAAACCTGACATCAGAAAGTGAATTTGGTGACCTCAGTCTTTGGTGGAAGTTCCTAGTGTATGAAATGGAACTGAAGAGAAAAGGCCTTGGTTTCCATGCTGGAGGTAGGGAACCAGTGAAAGGCTAAGTATCAGAGAATCTGTAATTCAGAGAAATCACCGTTGGTAACCTGGAGGGTGAATTTGAATAGAATGAGACTGGAGGAAGGAGGAAGGCAGTAATGGTACAGGTGAAGAAAAACATAGGTAGAACTTGGCCAGTAATTCAAAAAGGTGAGAGGAGGGGCCATAGAGAGGGAAACGTGGGATTATGACCAGGTTTCAGGCTGGAACAAGACAAATAGCAGACTCATCCAATATTGAAAATAGAGTCACAGGAGCCTACTTTAGTGGAGGGAGTTAACAGGGTATTCTAGGATAGGATAAGTTTGAGATTTCTTGACATATCTGAGTAGAAAATTCTTGGAAGCATCAAGATACACCAGAGCTCAGTGAGGGAAAGAAGATAGGGAGTGTGGAGTCATCAGCTTGCAGATGATGGCTGAAGCCATCCTCCCACTTCAGGAGAGAAGCACCCGAGCAAAGGGCTGAGACTCCTGGAGAACACCAACATTCCCAAGTGAGCTGAAAGAGAATTCAGAGGAGGGGCAGAGGAAAACTTAAATAAGTGAATGTGCTGTTGGAGAACATTGTGATTCAGGGCTTGATCTTTGGAGGCTAACTGCCTGAATGATTGTTTTCTTTTCTGTAAATGAGAGTAAAATTTTCTACCCATGCATGGGAAAAAATCCTCCACAAACTAGAAACAGGAAGGAACTTCATCAGCGTGATAAAAAGCATCTGTGAAAATCTAGCAGTTAACAGATTTGATGGTGCAAGACAAAATGCTTTTCCCTAAGATTGAGAACAGGACAAGGATGGCCATGTTGAGCAGGTCTATTCACCTTTGGTTCTGGTCAGGACAACTAGGTGATCGATATATAAAAGGATCCAGGTTAGAAAGGAAGAAGTAAAACTGTCTTACTTC